TTCTCTAGTGATTCCAAATGTAGATCCCTCTGTTCCAGTGTTAGGAGACTGTATCGTGGTACGTATCGTATCATCAGATTCTTGTCAATACACCAACCTTGTGCCTGATACAGGCTCCTGTGATTGGTTCTCTGACTCTCTCTGTCTCTGCCTGTGGTCCAGTGGTGAGGAGAGCTGTCAAGATGAAGTCAGACTCCTGTCTCCCCCGCTCACACGGACCTGAGAGTTAGCCTCTGTTAACCGACTCCACTTCTCTTTATCTCACATCTGTCTTCAGCTTCAGACGTCACTGAGACCCAGAGATGGATGGAGGTCTGCAGACTGGAGCGGCTCTCGGCTCGGCACGTCACTGAAGAACGAGAGTGTGATCGGGGCTGACGGCTCCGTAAATACAAATGACAAACCTGAAGTGGAGCTACTTTTTAAATCAACTCCCGTCATCAAAGCTGCAAACGTCTGTGAGGGTCTCAGAATTTATCACATGATCTTTAAATGTCTGACAGCCACAACCACAACAACAACAACAACCACAGAGCTTCACTCTTTACTCCCACGTCTGGTTTCAACCTCAGAGACCCTCCAGACCATGTGGTTTCAGGTCCAGGTCCAGGTCCAGGTCCAGGTCCAGGTCCAGGATGCTTCAGAATGTTCCACACACATTTGAACTCATCATTTCTCTGAGGTTTAAATGTTTCAATGTGTTTAAATCAGAAAACACGAAGACGTTGAACCGTAGCACTAACTCACGGTGACGCCGTTAACGTTCTGTTCACCCTCCACTCACACACATACTGTTTAGAGAACCTTTGGTCGCAGCTCTGGGCTCGGACGTATTTTTTTTTTTTTCCTTCTTTTTGCCGCAGCCTGTGAAATGTTGCAGCTGTCACTGATGTTTTAAATGTCAAACGCTGTCACTGTTTTCTGTGGACGTCAGGGAAGAAAAACTGAGTCCAACGGAAATAACTGCCAGCAGTGAAGGCTGTTTCCACACAGAATGTTCTAGAGCCAACGCAGACTACACACATCCATCTCTGCTTCATGTCTGCACACCTGGACCGGGTCTTTACTGCCGGTGTGTGTGTGTCGGAGACACTCCTGTGCAGCAGTGTGTGACTGTTTAAACACAGCGTTTATGAGAAACTGTTGGCGTTCTCTCTGCAGGAACTGAAGAATGTGTTGGGTTTGTGTTCATTCCACTGTCAGAAAAGAAAGTTTGTGAAACGCTCACTTTCCACAACACAGCTCTTAGTTCAGATTCTGACCAGTGACACAGACTGACAACAGGGGGCAGCAGTGGACCAGCAGCTTCTGTGTTAGCAGGAGTTCAGTTTAAACCAGAACAAAGTCGCTGTAACAGGCTAAAAGGTAAATAAATTTACAAAAAGTACTTTTTTTACTGCAGTCTCAGAAACGTCACCAACTTTCTGTGAGGCACTGCTGCGACGCTCTGACAGTTCTGCAGGTGAGGAGGAGCAGGACGGAGGACGTGATCCATCACCTGCAGCGTCTCCCAGCGCAGCTGTTAGAAACCGCAGTGGTCTCCTCACAGCCACACTTTCATGAAGACTCATGGTTCTGAGAGTCAGTGAGAGTTCATTAACCCTGTGAACGTCTGCTGTTGCTCCGTCTTTGAGGTTTTCACTCATCGTTTTTATCACAGCAGCCTGATGAGTTCATTTCACACGTGACGAGCGGTAAATGAGACAAAGACGATGGGAGACGCCGCTCAGGAAATTAGCAGCTTTAACTTAAACAGGTTTTTTTTTCTTTTTTCTTCCTTTTTTCCCCCCAGGGGAAATATGTTTCCAGACGTTTTCATCCAAAGTCATAACAGTGATCTGACTGTGAAGAACTCATGTACCAACCTTCAGCAGTAACAGAGTTTGTCTGACGTTACTTTAAGTGAAGTATTTCTGGGCCGGTCCTTTTGGTAGTTTGATGATGAGGGGAAGTGATGACTTTTTAATCTCCCCTCTGTCTGTGGTTACGGTCTGTTAATAAAGACAAATTCAAACCCGACTCTTGGCTCCGCACGCCGACTCCTCTCTTTTTTTACACACTCAAACTTAGCAGCACCACAAGCTGAGTGTAAATTAGAAAACACAGAAGGCAATCCTAATCTGATGTGTTATTTTCATCCAAACATGTCTAATCACGCTCCACCCAGAGGGGGGTTTGATTCCCGCTCGGAGAATTACGATACCACGGCTCCGGCAGAAAACAGCGGCAGTGATGAAACCGAGGAGACGGCTGAGATCTGAGACGATCAGCCATTACACCGTCTCCACCATCTGGACCAACCATTGACTGGTAAAAAAAGAAGAAGAAGAAGAAGAAGAAGAGACTGTTTGTCATGACCGTGTCACTGCTGGAGGCTCCTGTGTCAGTCCACTGCACCTCACCTCTATCTCCATCACATCAACAACACTGCTGCTGAAAACAAACACTGAGGCTCCTCTCTGTGTCTGTGTGTCTTCATTTAATGATGAACCAAAGCTGCTGTGATTAAAACCATGTCTCGGGGTCCACAGGTGGGTCAGAACGACCACCACACTCTCTGACGTTGTCGTCTGAACCACCAGGGTTTATCGTTGTCCATTTCCTCCGTCGTGACAAAATGAAAAACTGAAGCCGATCATTTAGAAACAGCAGCAGCAGAACGTGTTTGAACAGCAGGACTGAAAACTCACTGAAGATTTTCTCTCAGCACGAAGAACCAAAATAAGCCAACGATGGTCAAAACAGCAGAGAGGCGGTCGACGTCCTACTGTTAATTACTTGGCCTGACTCGCCGCCCTGCTGGGTGGATCCCTGAGGTAAACAAACCAGTGAGTGAGTGAGCGTGAACTGAAGTAACAGGAGATTAACACTGGACACACACACACACAAACACACACAAACACGTGCTGGGATTGAGTAGGAAAACATCAACCATTAAAACCATCCATGGGGTAAACACAGCGTCCTTGTTCCTAGGACAGACTGGACCTCAGCTGAGTCCAGGACCGACCCTCATCCACCTCAGTCCAGGTGATCTCAAACTATGAGTTCTTCAATATATATTTTTGTTTCCGTGACGATGATGACGACATGAGTCGGTGCTGCGACTGACTTACATTTCTCTCTGAATGAAGGCATTTCATACAGAGGAACGGCATCTTTCACTAAAGCACTTACATCCAATTGTACACATTAACCACGTACAACTGAAAAAGGACCAGTGGCTGCACCCGGTACTGCATCCAGGAGAGTTTCTGGCATCATCAAAAAATAAAAAAATAAAGCTGTGATTAAGGAATTCAACCAGCAAACATCCAATCCCAAGCCCAAATGTGATGACACTCCCCTCGGAGCCCCCGGCCCCCTCCTCATCTCCCCCTACAGCTCAGGTTTGTTTATGCAACAAGACTTTTTTCCTGAGGGCATCTTTGTCACAGACTTCCAGAGGCAGTGAGGAGAAGTCGACGCCTGGCTCCGGTCCAGTCGACTCCCTGAGATCATTTGAAGGTTCTTCTCGTTAATTGACGGCTCACACAGAGGAGACGCTGCAGCAGCGTTTGATCCCGTCCTGGGTGAGAACCAGAGAGTCCGATCTGCGCTCACCTCGCCAAGAGCTGAACGCCAGCTCGTTATGCACATCCCTCCACTTGTTTGCGTGAAAATGTGTAGATGAGAGAAATTAGTTCCAACACAGTCCCTGCTCTTCATCCTCCTGTAGAAGTGCAGATGCGGCGGGTCCTCGGGGGGGCTCATCTGTCCTGCTGTCGCAGCTCTGGCCCAGCTGCTGTCTGAGCCGGGGCCAGATGATTAGGCCACGTTCCAAACCAATCCGCTCAGGTGAGCTGCAGCGCCACGGTGCTGACCGCCGCTATCAAGCTGAGACAGGGGACGGATTCATCACACTAAGAACTGTGCTGCAGTAAAAGCTGCAGAGATTTTCCACCATCGTCAACCAGTCGACAACACGGACAGTGAACATGTGTTAACAGAGGCTGCAGGAAGATGACCTTCAGGTGTTTGATGATACAGTGTTTGAAGATACTCATTGTCCCATTTCAGTGGGAAAGGTAAAGAAAAAACCCAGTCCAGTGGGGGCAGCAGAGAGCTGGAGCAGTGAATCACATCACTGACCTCTGGATTTGTTTGATAACAGCAGCAGTGTCTGATTTAGAGTCAGGAACAAATGTTAAAACCAAAAGTGGGATCTGCTGCAGAATGTGCATGACCTCGTGACTTATATTAACTAAGTATTGCAAGTAGCTAGCAGACGAAAGTTGGCCAAAAAAAGGTTGGCCCCATGACTGAAAGTCAAGCTCGTGTAAAATAGTCCAGTGTCAGATGTTAGAAAATATAACTGAAAATTAACACTTCACCAAATACCAGAGTTAATTTGGGCCAAATGATCAAAGAGATCAAAAACTGTAAAAAATGTTATCAAACTGAGGCTCGACAGCTAAAGGTTATCACTGAGGTGAATTAAAGTTACACGCAGCAGCTGAAAGTCATTAAAAACCTTCAGGCGTTTTATAGATGTGAACAGAAGCAGCTACTGATTATCATTCAAACGCTGTGAGTGTCTCAGTTAGAGTTTGGCGACCTTTGACCCTGCAGTCCTGCTTTTAATTCGTTCAACAAAACCATATTTATTGGCACATTCTGGAACAACATAACACACACACACACAGAGGCCTTCAAAGTCAATTCTGTTATTAAAATAAACAAAAAGCCTTGATTAAAGGTCATTAGGTCAAAGTGGTTTCTGCTGAGCTACAGCCGTGATTTGAATCTTTGAATGATCATCTGAAATGAAGGTGACATAAAACTACCAACAGCTACTGGTACAAATCACGGTCCTGGTCACAGACCTGGTCCTGGTCATAATTTCCACCTGGTCACAGACCTGGTCCTGG